TACTGTAGGTAAGTAAAGAAAAAAAAAATAAATATCCTGACAGTAGTACATGAGACAGATAATCTGTGAAAAAAAATCAGGTTCCTCTGGCTCCTCCTAGTTTTCCTAATGGCATTTACAAGCCTATAAATTGAATTATATCCAAAACTTCCGTCTGGATTTTTTAGCTAGTATGCCAGGGACAAACAGAAAAAGTTCCCTGAAGCACTGCATCCACGTTATCCAACTGGGCTGTTCTGACAGAGCCCTATAGCCAACTTGCGATCTGCATTGATAGTTTTAGCTTCTGTACTGATTTCTGTGCACCAATTCAGTGCCAAATCTTGTAAGAAACCTTTTTTGTTTTGTTATTAAAAATGAGAACTGGTCAGGAGTTGGGAGTAATTTAGGGACTGAGGATTCGGAGAAACAAAAACAAATAGAGAAATTTCTACTAATAACCTTTAGTATGCTTTTAACAGACAAAATGTACTTTGTTGACAGTAGGTATGTTCTACATGGATCTCCCCTTTCCATTGAATGCCTGCTATTGATAATGCATTAGACATCAAGAGTTAAAAAGTAACTAATACTCTTACTATTTTTTTAGAAGAATACTTTGTACTTTTTTTAACACCTTTAATTTTACTTATAATATAATATAAAGTAATATTTCAGTAATGTAACTTGACTACAGATTTTCAGTACTATTTTCACTACTGTACCTGGAGTTACATCCAGGTAACTACTATTACTACTACTACTATTTTGTACAGGCCTCTTCAAATTCGTTAACAAATGCAATTAATTAAATTCAGAAAAATCATTTCACATGCAGAGAAACTGGGACTTTTGGGCCTGTGGAGGTCAAGGGTCCTGGTTGATAATCCAGCCCTTGGTCACATTGTGCGTGTGTGTGTGTGTATGTGTGTGAGTCTGTCTTACCACTGCAGGGGAGTTGACCACAGCCAGATTGTAGCCATAAAGCATGGAGCTCCCAAAGGAGGTAAGGAATGCCACCGCTAACAAAGAGCCGGTCAGTTGCTGCAGACAGAGGGAGAGAGATAGATGTGTAAGGAAGTGCAGAATACTGAATGTGGATTTCATCCAGAGAATGGTGGAGAAGTGGTTCCATATTATAACACCGCACTATAACTAATAAGACCACGGTGAAGACTGGTACCTTTTCTCTAATTGTATTGTAAGTGCTAATGTTTCTCCAACACAAGCTAAATTTGTTCCTCTTATATAAATGTATATTTGTTGCAATGACATTTATGTCTTGCAGCATATACTGTACCATAATGTACCAAGAACTGCGCCCTTTCTCTGCTTTGTACTATAAAGAAGCCAGTCTAGGGCCAGGCAGTAAAATAATTGGATACGTTTTTCTAAATTAGCAAATCACTCCTGATGTTTAAGAGAGCTCCAGAGGTGACCTAACCAGTAAGGAGACGGTGTTGTTGTTCATTGAGGACAATATATTAATAAATTAAATGTAATCATTTTTGATCAGTCTCTCCACATAAACTACACAGTGACAGGAATGATATAGCTTTGAAACACTGATGATGATTTGTCACAAGCAGTTACAGTCTCTTGTGTCAATTTTGCACTTTTAAAATGGGAAATCTTCTGTCCATGTTGCACTTTTATTACCCTGTTAAAGCACATTGAATTGCCCTGGTTAATGAAATGTTCTATATGAATAAAGTTGCCTTGCCTTACAGCAGTTAAGTCACACACCACTAACTAAGTCACTGACTTTAGTGAAACTAGATCATATCTCTGCCTCAACTCTCTGTGATTTACAGAGTTTTCTAATGGACAGTGAAGTTAACTGGGAAAAGGAGGTTTTCAGAGGATGAAATGGGCACCAGAACCAAGGCAGCAGAGGCAGAGGATGGCAGAGGACAAGAGTAAATGTGGGACTGGCATTTAGTTGTTGGTGAGAGCTGACGGCGAGCTGGTCTTCTTACTGTTAAAGTAGTCATTAATATTAGCTTGCTGTGTCTTGTGTTGTTGAACTTGCTTGTTTGGCTGTGCTGGCAAAGTTGCTGACTCTAGTTTTTGATCATAAATAGTAGGGATGCTCGATATTGGCTTTTCTGCCGATATCCGATATTCCGATATTGTCCAACTCTCAATTTCCGATACCGATATCACCCGATACCTGTATTTATAATGATAGATAATAACACTGAGTTTTGATTATTCTGATAACTGCTCAATGGTTACATCTGCTACACTTCTTATACATATAAGTTGAAAATTAGTGAAACCATAAGGACATTAATATACTGTGATTGCGTCAAAAATGTATTACATTTTTGGGTGTATTTGAAAGCATTTATCCGATGGTCACCCCAGATTCAGGCTCCCTAAGGTTCATAGCAGTTCCAAACTGATAAGACACAATTACCTGTGTTTCTAACAGGCATCGTTGGTCCTTGGTCTTCTCTTTCCCCTTCCTTTCCATTGATTTTGATGCCACTCTCAGATTACAAGGCTATGTTGAGGGCAGGGATAATACTCTACTGTCGGCTGCCAGTAACATCCCTAATGAACGATCTTCGTTTCTTTCTGAATGTGGCCTGACAGTCAAACGCTTCTTTTTGTTGGCTAACAGAAGCGGTGTTTTTCCATAGGTTTGTTTCGAGAATATGGTGTCATTCATCAATGAACTGCATTCATCTATAAACAATAAGTTAGCATTCATGGATATTATACTGTGCCTGCTGATCAATTCAGATATTTTTATATTATAGGCACGATTTGTTTGAAGCTGAGAACGACTACTCCTATTTGATTTGTTAAGCACTAGACAGTCCATTGCCAACTCTCCAGTGCCAGGGCTGCACGTATTTTAATAGCAGCGTAATTATTAAGAGACCCTTGAAAAATAACCATTCCTTTCACAGAAATTGATGTGTTAAACATGTCTACGCTTTCTCTCCCATATTCCCTGTGCTAGTATGTTTCAAATGTTGGCGCCTAAT